AAACAAGGCAAACAGCCAGACCAAGCTCGGAATCTGTGTTTCGAGATCGGATATCTGTATTTGATTAGGACAAACAGCCAGCTTATTGGTGTGTGAACAACTTAAACAACTACGCCATCGGTGTATGACTTTGCTGAAACATCCTTTATCGACTAGAAGCGTGAAGTCACTAGACTGTGGCAGCAGACTGTACACATAGAAGATCTACATTGTGCGGGGTTGCGAAGGCGCTCACTCGAGGGATATGGGGATACGTGGGCGTTACAATTGGTCGCAGGCCTTGTGTCGTGATGTGTCGCTCCGAAAGACAAGAAGCGACAGAATCGTGAGCAGCAGCACCCCAAGCCCCAAGCCTGGGTGAACAAGCTGTCCTAGCGAACGGTTGGTGTATTTTGTGGTGGTAGAGGAGCGTGCGTGACGCTGTGAATAGGTTTGGAAAGCAGAGGTAGTGTGGTTTGTGAGATGACGAGTGGTGTAGTATATGTTTGTGAGTATTTTGTGAGTTTGTGAGTTTGTGATCGTGTGTGTGTGTGTGTTGTTTTGTGGTGGGAGTGTACTTTTTGTCGTCAGTGTGCCCGAGCGGTCTAAGGGGGTAGACTCAAGTTCTACTGTGTTCGCACTCGTGGGTTCAAATCCCACCGCTGACATGTGCACTTGCTTTCGCGGAGTTGTGTCACGGCGCTTCGCCTTGGAGCTCATGGGGCTATTCGCCATGTTACTCTGTCTCGCAATTATGCATCAGTTGATTGACCATCGCTTTTACACTTACGCCAACTCAGTATTTGCGTGTTCCGCATCAGCTCATGCCGCCTGTCAGCTCAACCACCCTCTGGCCCACGTTGCCGTGTCCTCCTATGGACCACACACCAGAACGAGGATGGAACTCGAACTCTCGATCGTACCGGGTATGATGTTCAATATCGCGACCCAAGTACTCTGATTCCGCATTGTTATCTTTCCTCCTAACTACACCAAAGTGTCACAACACTTTCCTCTTAACTACACCAAAGTGTCACAACACGCCATAAATAACCCACAGAGGGGCATATATCACAATGTACAGCGGGTTCCGTAAATCGAGGTACTAGCTCTTGAAGAGCAGATTCTTGGCCGTCATGGAGGTTGTACAGATCGGATTGGCGCGAGTATGGGACCAAAAGACGTGCAATTCTACAGTGGTTCCGCTGTAAAGCATCGATTGGCTTATTATGCAGTAACGTTCCGCCAATCAACGATAGACTCGAAGTTGATGGTGCGAAAGTCGATGTACCCCGGCCTCGCTTTACACGTTGTACAAGAATGGAATAAAAAAAGTGTTGCTCGGATATTGCACTAAGCGATCAAGCCAACGCTATAGCTTGCAACCTTCTATGCTCTCCGTGCTGGCTGGATGTCGATGTTCACTATTCAATCTTCCATTTCACTTGGAGCTTGAGATGGAATATTGAACAATGATCTATGGCATCGAACCAGTGGCGCCAGTACTCACACGACAGGCGTGTCTTGCGCGTGAGCAGGCATCGACAAGGCCTAGGCTACACCAAGGTAAGCCGATCCCTAGAAACTCTGTGGTCGACATTGTCAAGTACCACCAACGCAATAGACATTCCGTGGTTGCGCACCGCCAAGACTGTTAGAAGCTCACCGACGTTAGACGAGATCGTAGAATCGTTTGTGCTGTCGGAGCGAGCCGCTTCAACAGCGACGCGGCACAGGTGGAGAAGAAAATCGGTGTAATGGTGTCTCGCTGGTTTATTTGCAATACGACCTATGCAGCTAGGTTGAACGAACGCTCTGCCCGCAAACAAAATTCTTGCCCCAAACACCGCCGTGCTCGTCTAGCCTACGTTAAAAAGTATGCCCATCTGAAGAAGACTGGGATGACGTGCAATTTACGGCGAGGTTCGGACTGAACTCCACAATGGGGCGGGTATCCGTGTGGCGTCGGTCTCACGAAACGTTCGACGAGAAAG